TGTTCAGTGGACTTTATTGATATTAACATGGGATGCCCAATTGATATTGTGGTTAACAAGGGTGCTGGATCAGCTCTGCTTACAAAACCAATGCGAATGAAAAGTGTAATACAGGCAGCTTCGGGAACTGTTGATATACCAATAACCGTCAAGGTAGCTTGTTGCTTTACTAGAGTCAATTATACTCTTTTCCCTTGCCTTGATTATCAGAAGGGTTTCTTAGATCCTCTGTGACACTCTTTCTGATGCTTTGTAGGTACGGACAGGTTATTTTGAGGGTAAGAACCGCATTGATTCCCTAATTGCAGATATGGGAAACTGGGGAGCTACTGCTGTTACTATACATGGTCGATCACGCCAACAACGTTATAGCAAGCTTGCTGATTGGGGATACATCTACCAGTGTGCAAAAAGGGCCCCGAAATCATTGCAAGTATTCGGAAACGGTGATGTGTTTTCGTATGTAGACTGGAATAATCACAAAAGTGATTGCCCTGAGCTTTCTACATGTATGATTGCCCGAGGTGCACTAATAAAGGTAATTAATTTTTGTAGGGAATATTATTTTGCATCACTAGTCATGTGTATGAGGACACTACCATTAGCAGTGGTTGTAGTTTTATCAACTTAGCTGTTTTTCGGCTTATCAGGCTTATCAGCGAACTTTTTCACCAAACACGTAGTTTTTGCTTTCGCGCGCTGAATTGTGTAATAAGCAGAAAAAGTAAGGTTGAAGTTACTTTTCTGGCCGTATTGGTTGAAGTTACTGTAGATAGCCATTTTAGCTATTTTCACATGTAACTTTTTCTTTATTCTATTAATAAAATATATTTTAAAAATATTTTTTTCTTAAGCAGAACTTCAGCCAATGCAGCCACTTCAGCCAGAACTTCATAAATTTCAGTAGAATCAGCCAAATCAGCCCATTTTCATGCTACCAAACGGGCTCTTAAGATAATTGTCAAAGGAATGGGCAATATGAACCTGAGAGCGACGAATAATAGTGCTCTTGTCACGCACAAGCTTACGTCCTTTTGGCCATTATATTGCTTCAACAATTCAATTTTTTCCCCTTTCCCATCAAATATTGATTTCAACGTTAGATCTTCAATTTGTTCGAAGATAGACACAAGAAACTCAATTTCCATTTTCAGACTTTATATAACGTTTAAAATTAATACACCCTTAAAAAATGGTTTTATCTTTGGTGCAATCGAATTTTCAACATAATGCAATGGTTTAAGTTAATACTTGGTGCTAATGGATGAAAAATGTTTATCCAAACAAAGTGCGTTTGATGGGATTTCCCTCAGACACCTCCGAGGAGAATTCTTCTCTGTATGTGTGTCTTTATGTATGAATATATAAACATGTTTTTACTTTTGCAGCCTTGGATATTCACGGAAATCAAGGAACAGAGGCACTGGGATATTAGTTCTGGGGAACGACTGGATATCTTCAAGGATTATGTGCGTTTTGGCCTTCAACACTGGGGTTCTGACTCAAAAGGTAGGTGGTAGAAGAGATGTTTTGGCGAACACTGTCCTTTTCCCTGGCATTGCTCAATAAAAAGCTACTACCTTTATTGATATGATTTTAGAACATAGAACTTGATAATTTGTATAGAAATAGTGAACCTAAACCTTGAACCTAATAGAATAGGAACCTATAATTCAAACTAAAACTATGAAATCTCTATTAACTAGTACATTATTAGTAATGCAAAATGTGGATGTTGATATGTTAAATTGGGTGCAGGAGTGGAGACAACCAGGCACTTCTTGCTGGAGTGGCTTAGTTACACGTGTCGGTATATCCCAGTTGGTCTTTTAGATGTTATCCCTCAAAAATTAAACTGGCGAGCACCTGCATACTACGGTCGAGATGACCTTGAGACACTCATGGCTTCTGATTCTGCTGCTGATTGGGTATCTATAATCTTTAGCACTTGCACCTGTCTATAATCCATAATCATCTTCTTTAAAGACTTAAAAGCGTCCTTAAATTTTAGTTTGTTTTGTAACTTGGGTTCCCTCATGTCTGGCTGCAGATAAGGATCTCTGAAATGTTGCTAGGCAAGGTTCCTGATGGGTTTTCATTTGCACCAAAACACAAATCTAATTCTTATGACCGAGCTGAAAATGGCTAATGTATTTCCATAGTCGTTACTTTTTGCCTTTCTCGAGCTTTGGGACTACCTGCTTTAAGAGGACCATTTCTTTGCTTGTAATACCTTGTATTTTATAATATTATTTGACTAGTATCGAATTTTATCCGAGTCTTGTTGGTGGATTTTCCGGAAGAGCCCATACATTTTGGGAAAAAGGTTTTATACTCTGAGACCTGTTGGTGGATAGTTGGGATGAAAGTAGGGATGGACCCGGGCCGGGCCGGTTCCGGTTCCGGGCCGGGCCCGGGCGGGCTTTTTTTCGGGTTACATGGGCCCGGAACCGGCCCGGGTTGATACCGGGTCCGGGCCTAACCGGGCCGGGCCGGGCCCGGTTCAATGTTTTTTTTTTTTTTTTTTTACTTTCTTGTTATCTCCCTACCCCCCCCCCCTCACCCCCATGCCCCAAACCTCCCTAAAACACCCAGCCCTACCCTAGGAAAAGAAAAAAAATTGAAAAAAACCAAAAAAAAAAAAATGAACCGGGCCCGGCCCGAACCGCCCGGGCCGGTTCAACAAAAATAGGGCCCGGAACCGGCCCGCCCGACCCGCCAACACGGGCTAAAAGCCCGGAACCGGCCCGCCCGACCCGCCAACACGGGCTAAAAGCCCGGAACCGGCCAACCGGGCCCGGTCCGGTCCGGGCCCGCACAGTAGCGGGCCGGTCCAGTTCCGGGCCGGTTCGGCCCGGCCTAGTCCATCCCTAGATGAAAGTAAACATGTATACAGACTTAGTAAAAAGAGTACTTCAATCAAGGCATTCTTTTCTAGTTGGAAAATCTGATTTTTGTTCAAGCGCACGAAACAAATTATATTCTCGCACGGATACAGATCAAGACATTCAAAAGTTGCTCTGTGATTTTTTCGCTTTCTCTCTCATTAAAGGCTGATTTTTATAGATATTTTATGTTTTGCCTAGACGCATCAAACTCAATGTCAAAGAGTAGTTAATTTTAAATATAGCACTTCACTGTGATTTTCATAAGTGATGCTTAAAAGCGCTCTTCTAATAACAGGTAATTTTCTTCCTAAAAAAACAAGTAATTTTCAACCACTGCTCATAAAATAGACCCAAATAACCGTTGGATTAATAAATATCACTAATTTCTCATGTGTTCTCACTTTTATTGTTTTGCTGTCCTTCACAAGTCACAACCAAGGTAAGAGTAGCAAAAAAACTTAAAAAGTAAAGTGGCCAGTCGGGCTCACATCAAAGACACTGAAAGAGTTAATAGTAAAAGTTTGAGAGAGCTTCTGAAAAGCACTTCTATACCATTTTCTTAGGGAGTGTTTGCAATTGCTTCAACTTTAAAGAAGTGATTTTTTAAAGTGATTTTGGGAAAAGTGATTAATAGTAAAAGTTGGTAGTGTTTGAAGAAAAAGTGATTCTGAAAAAGTAAAAGTTGGTAGTGTTTGGTAAAAGAAGTACTTTTTGTGTAATAGAAAAAGTGAAAAGCAGTTTAAAGCACCCTTCCACCTGCTTCCAGCTTTTAGCTTTTAAGTGATTAATTTAAGCAGAAGCTGTCATTTGAAAACACTCTTTTTAACTTTTTTTAAGCCAAAAGCTGAAAAACACTTTTTTTAATCAAATGCAAACACTCCCTTAAAAAATGCTAAAAGCAGTGTTTGAATTTGCTTCTTTTTGAAGAAAGTCAATTTGGATAACTTCAATTCAAAGGTTGCGTTAACCAGTTTATAATTGTCAAGGTGGGTCTGTTTTCATTAAAGCTATCTGGAACAATTAGATTTCTCCAAACATGTCATTACTTTGGAGAATATGGAACCAATTCATCTCTGTTGAGACTAATATTAGGACTAAATGTGTAAAGTGCATATCCAATTGCCTCTAAATGTGTTTTCTGTTCTTGTTCTTTGAAATCTTTGGTCATTAATTGGTTCATTGAAACCTAAGACTAATATTGATAGCATCCTATCCATTATTGTGTGGATTTTATAGAAGAAAGAACAATTGGGTTAAAGTATGAAGTTCAATTTTTTCACATTGGCAGTGTGAGTTTCATCCAATGTGGTGCCTTCTTATGTAATTCAAGCCCTGAAGCACCTCACTCAGAAACTGTTCGATATCATATCGTCATTCATTCCTCAAATATTTTGGAATGGTATTGGACATCTAGCCATCTAGGTAGGCCATTCCACCCTTTTGAATTGAAGAAGAAGAATGAGGTCAAATATAAGAAGGCTAAAAGAAATAAACACCAGATTATACAAGTTGGTTGAAGGAGGTTTATTCAATGGCCTTGTTTATCAAACCTACTCATAAAAAACACTTCAGTTGTTTTTTGAAATTTTACCCTATCAATATACAAAAACACTTTTATTACCAAACAAATTAACTTTTACTTTTTAAAACACCTACTTTCAAACTTTTTTCTTAAAATTAAGCACATCATGTATCTCTATAATAAGCCACTCTTCAAAATCACAACTCACAAGCAAACACCTCCTAAGCTGCTATGCCAGCCGTGTTGAACATCAACCAAGGTAAGTAGGTAACCCGTACTCCTAGAGGCTCTGGGGCATGTTACTCGGCCATGAGAGTATGAGACAGCACCAAGTGGAGACGTGGGTCGTTGACTCCTGCTCACAAAAATGCTTTTGTAATATCTTTTTTGGACAACACTAGTACAACATTTGAACAGACCATTTGTTCAACCAACTAACATTTTATCTATAAACAATATTTATACGCCTGTCAGAACAAAAGAGAACAAATAAACACCCTTCACACAAACAATTTCGTTTTCCTGCAAACTTGTCTTCTTTAATGTGAAAATCTTCTTTAATGTGAAAATGCAAAGTAAAAAAGCAATGATGGAAACTTGTCTTCTTTAATGTGAAGATGCAAAGTAAAAAAGCAATGATGGAAAGGCCCTTTCTGCTATCCACAAGCTATCAGCCTATCATTGGGCCAGCACTCAACAAAGAGGTATGGTCTTTACTGTTAGAATATAAGATATCAGAACTTTCCCATTTGGACAAAACAGAATCGTAAAAACAATTCTAAAATTGCCCCAACGGTAAAAATCTTCATGAAAGAACCAATTAACAAGTCACAATAGCAGCAAGCAAAACATAGCTGAAGCACATCATTTCAGTCCATTCGGGTGGGGGGGGGGGGGTCTGGACAAACAAGAAATTAGTAAAGGCACTTCAAACAGGAAGAAACCAAGTCACACATATTCCATAACTTGTTCACTTATTTCAGCCTGCATTGCAATTCCAAATGTTGACTAATGTTCTTTTCCATGTATCAAGCAGTTCTCTTGATTATGTGAACACCACTTTCAGTATCAACAATGTCGCTAATCTGACCAACAGCAAGTGCGAAAGATGCTTCTTCAAAAGGCTTCTGCATCTTCCCCCGCCCAAAATAACCTACAACACAAAGGTACTTTCATTGAAAACCAACAATGCATCATTTGCTGCAAACTGCCTAGCTAATTAAAAAAAACGCTGGAGTGTAAACAATTTTAAGCACTTTAAAAATATCCATGGAACTGTTTTTTTGCAATATAATGTCAGGACCTAAAAATGGGACTGGACTATTACTACTATCTTTGTAATTGATATTTGATAAAGGCCACACCACTCTGCGCGTGTGGAAAAGAGTATTACTTATTAGTGACACAATTTGGCATTATTTCAGCCACTAATTTAGGTTTGTTTTGTTTTGTTTTTTCCTAAGGGAGACAAAAAATTCTTCTATGCAATTTGAGATAAGTGGTGGAGAGTTACCTATATCTCTACACAATAAATCACTGTTTGAAAGCACAAGCAAATAGCCCCTAAGTTGTTTTGCCATCCGGGTTCAACATCTACCAATGAACTTGGAGCAGCACAGGTAAAACTCAAAATTTATTTATAATTCAACGCTTGACTCCCAAGAGACTTAGCTGACCGCCTGATAGATACCAGGATCGAAGGAGGGAAATTGTTGTTTATTATGAACATAATTGATGAACAGGAATGAAATGATACAGGTTAGGCACTTCGAGCAGCCTATCTCTCCCAGAATTCCCAGCCCAAGTCTAAAATTCTGCCTACCACTTTCCTCCCTTCCTTCCATCTCTTATAGTACTCTATTCTAACGGGCCAGCCCATATTATATGACATGGCCCAGAATACTTATTTATACAATACCAAACTTATTCAATATCAATCTATCACTATTATTATCATTATTCTCTACAGCCCAGGGCCCTATCTTATCTACCCCCTTGAAAAACCACCTTGTCCTCAAGGTGGGCGATAGGACACAGCCTTGATCTTCTTGATCTTGAACTTCCTCTTCATCCTGGAGCCTCTTCCTTCCCAATATATTGTTGATTTTTGTATCCCTATCTTCAGCACTTGACCCTTAATCCTCACTTCTTCAGACCAGCATTTCTCTACGGTCTTCTCAGCCTTTTCATAGAGCTCATTGTTGTCTTGAATCTGGAATTTAGCAGTCTTGTCTAGTCCTTCATAAGAGTCAACCATCTGCACACATAACTTGACCCCACTATTCAACCCAACTTCTTTGTCCCCTTTGCCTATTTTCAGAATGTTCTCCAGCCCTTCAAGGTATGCAGTAACAATTCTTGGATCTTGGCATAACAAGTGATCAGAGAGCATCTTAATGCAGCCGTTACTTATCAAGCACATATTCTGATTATGAGAGCCTGCAGGTTCTTCATAACAAGATATAGCCCCTGCAGCTTCTTCCTTGCTGTAAACTTCTTTATGAAGGAGGTGTACTAAGGCCTAAGGGAATAGTGATAGATGCCTCAATAATTGCATTTATAATATTTCTACTCCCAGCAGTGATATTAGGTATTGTCCAGCAAACTTGAGTCCAGACTTCTTCTTCTTTCATAGGGATGAATGGCTGATAAACTGGCAATACACCTTTGAAAAGGGTAAATGGAGTTGGTGTCCTGCATCGCCATGAGTTTGATAAAATCCCTGTAGAATTTATCAACATAAAAAGCCCTGAATGCTCATTTGACGGAACTAGCAATGGTAGGATTGCACCATGACCAAGACCTTGATCGCTACAACCTGGGTCATCACAAAAAACCTTTCCTAAAGCCCAGGTAGCCTGCTCACGAAACTTATCACTTGGAGGGCTGCGTTCAATCGAAAACAGCTTTCTTAATGGTGTCGTTGCTTTAATTCTTGCAAATGGGTCCTCTGTAGCTTCAGCAACTGTCCCTTCAAGCACAGTAGGCTTTGAAAATGAGCTGGCATCGGTCACCAAACTATCAAACCCTGTAGAAACAACCTTAGAACCTTCACCATTAGGAACTCCAGAAACAACCTGCTCCGGTTTCAGCAACACAGTTGTAGGTGGTAATACACAGTTGTCAGCAACTTCCAGATGTTCAGAATAATAACCTTGATCATAGCTCAAACTATCAAACCCTGCAGAGAAATTATTTTGGTTTTGCATTTCAATTTTGTCCTCCTTGTTTTCAGACTTGGATTCATTCTCTTCTATTTCCTCAGTCTCCTCTATACAAACAGTCCTGGTAGAGCTTTCCCAAGTATTTGAACCAACCATTTTAACAAGGGCAGATTCATATTCCATGGTAATGGACTGAATCACCACAGAAGTTTTGTCCTCACGTTCCTCATCACCTTTGATGAATGTATCCTCAGGTGATTCCTTAAGGTACGGTGAAACTTGCGCCATATGAAACTCTGATTGGGCTGAAATCTGCGAACTGGGAGGTTCATATCTCGATTGCGTCTTCATTAAATTGGTTGCCGAAGCCTGCGAACTGACAGATGTTGTTGGCGATAATTGTCCCTGGCATTCGTTGTCACTCTCGTTGAACTTAGATGCGTCTTCTCTGACTCGCTTTGAACTCATCTCCTCAAGAGTTTGCCGTTGACTCACATACTTATGAGGAAACGATGTGATTGATTGCGAACTGCGAGAAGACACATGAGAACTAGAAGAAGTAGTTTCTCGCGATTTATAAAAAACCTGTGCAGTTATCAATGATCTGGAACTGAAGGAAGTTGTTGGCGAAGACTTCTGTTAACTGATAGAAGTTCTCGTCGATGATTCCTGATTCTCGTTCTCTGTCCTCTGACTGCGTATAGGTTGGAAACGCAGCTTTATGGCTTCCTTCAGAGCCTTCCAACTCTTTTCAGTCGTTTGAGTATACCACCATGGAAACCAGGCTAATGCTCTTTCCTCCATCGCATCTTCTGCTACTACCACCTTATTTTTTTCAGCAGTAGCTTTGAGACGGAAATACTCTTCCATCTTAACAATCCAACTGCCCGCATCATCCCCTTAAACCGCGGTAATTCAACCTTTCTTCCAGTATGAACAGGTCTTCTACAACTGTAGCGATCTCCACTTGAACGAGAATGATCGGAATTGGGCGATGCAAGCTGCACGGATGAGAAGTGCGACGCGAACTGGTTGAGCGATCGATTCCTCAATCGATTTTTGTTACTGTTCATCATCGCGATTGTTTCCTCTAGTGTCGCCAAGTTCATCGCAACTTTTTCCACCAAGGACCAAGGTAGGGTTCTGCTCTATGGTTTCCCTTCTGTTCTCCATGTTTGGATCTCGTCCAGACCTTCCACAACTGAAACGGAGATGGAACGAAGAATTTTCTGATGTTGCGTAACTATTCCAATCACCGGAAACGAACGTATGCTCTGATACCAATGATAGATACCAGGATTGAAGGAGGGAAATTGTTGTTTATTATGAACATAATTGATGAACAGGAATGAAATGATACAGGTTTAGGCACTTCGAGCAGCCTATCTCTCCCAGAATTCCCAGCCCAAGTCTAAAATTCTGCCTACTGTTAAGGTTAGGGCGCACACACACACACAAATCTGAAAACGAGAAAAGAACGAGAAGAAACGGCACACAGAAATTAACGTGGTTCAGCCAGTAAGTGTTACTGACCTAATCCACGGGGGCAACTAGGGTTTTCTTCTTTATTGAGATGATGAATGATACAGATTATGGTTTTACAAGTACAGGAGTCAATATATAGGCAAACAATTAGGGTAAAGCACTTAAATAAGGTTCTGGGCCTGACTGCCATCAAAGAAATAGGCCCAACTAGGGCTGCCTGCACATTTAACTAGAGCAGGCTGCTGCTCTTTGTTTAAATGACTCCCAGGTCTGAGTGGGCCGAAGCCTACAGCCCAACAATCTCCCACTTGGAGGCTTCGAAACACAATCAACTGCACTCCACTCCTCTGTACTTCTGTAAACTTCATCTGTGCTTAGCTTCTCCTAGTTGCCACCTGCCTTCTCAACATTATTCTTGAAGGCCAGCTGAAGTTACACAGAACTTCAGCTTGTCCAGCGTCACAGATTTAGTGAACATATCTGCTGGATTCTTTGCACCTGAGATATTCTTCAAGTTCATCGTTCCTTCACTGATCAACCCTCTAACAAAGTGATATCTCATCCCAATGTGCTTCGTTTTCCCATGATACACTGGATTATTGGCAAGTTTCACTGCACTCTCATTATCACAGTGTAATGAGTAATCTGCTTGCTTTTTGTCTAACTCTTCAAGAAAGTTTCTCAACCAAACCAGCTCTTTACTGGCTTCAGCAACTGCCATGTACTCTGCTTCGGTTGTTGAGAGAGCTACACTTTTCTGAAGTTTGGACATCCAACTAACTGCGGTTCCTCCCACTGTGAAAATGTACCCCGTAGTGCTTTTGAACGTCTCTTTGCATCCACCCAAATCAGCATCAGAATACCCTCTTAAAATTACGTCTTTACCTCGGAAACATAACCCCATCTTTGTAGTACCCTTCAAATACCTAAGTATCCATTTGGCTGCTTCCCAATGTTCTCTCCCCGGTTTTGACATGAAGCGACTAATAACTCCGACTGCATAAGCTATATCTGGTCTCGTGCACACCATAGCATACATGAGGCTACCAACTGCAGATGCAAAAGGAACTTTAGCCATTTCTGCGTTCTCTTCATTTGTTCTCGGAGATTGGTCTTTGGTAAGCTTGAAGTGACTTCCCAAAGGCGTGTTTCTCGGTTTAGTCTTCTCACCATTCATATTGAATTTCTCCAACACTTTCCCAATGTACTTCTCCTGGGATAGTGTTAAAGAACCATTCTCCTTGTTTCGGACTATGCTCATTCCGAGTATTTGTTTGGCTGGACCCAAATCTTTCATTTCAAATTCTTGAGACATTTGCTTCTTTAACTTGCTGATCTCTTTCATATCTGCACCAGCTATCAACATATCATCTACATAGAGAAGTAGAATGATATATGAACTCTTGAACCTCTTTACGTAGCAGCAATGATCCATCTCACATCTTCTGTACCCTGTCCTTATCATGAAGTTATCAAACTTCAAATACCACTGTCTCGGAGCTTG